CGATGGGGCCTATGCTTTGAGAAAAAATTTTTCAAAACCTTACCCTGGCACTTATTTGTCTAATAAGCAAAAAACTTAATCAGAGGCTTTCTTGTGTGCGCGTAGTTGTAGAGAACACATTTGCTTTAACGTGCAACAAGTTTTGCATTTTTCATACAAAAATCGACAAAATGCCAAAAAAAGTCAATATGATCATCAAATCGACTTGTATACTGCATAATATTATTTTAGACTTAAAGCACAACTCTGCGTCCATCCCATTGACTTCAAAGGCACCATCTGGAGAAGTTCTACTGCCTTGTTTAATGGTGAATAATGATTTTTCTGTAGGGTACGTAGAGACTGTGAGACAAGAATTATGCAAATATTATAAAAAATCCAGTATAAAAATCACTTAGACAAATTGTAATAGTTTTTTTTTCTTATTTGTGTTTTTTTTTTTTTTTTTTTTTTTTTTTTTTTTTTTTTTTTTTTTTTTTCTTAATATCTATAAACGATAACAGCACTTTACAAATATGTCCATAACAATTTATAATTCAAGATAATAACAATAAAAAAAATGCAGCTTTATAACAATTTTTTTGTTTGTCTTTTTTTTCTTAATGTCCTTCATATAATTGCTTATGATTTCTTAAATAACATGATAGAGCTTATTAACAATAATTCTTAAAGCTTTCACCTCACAATAAAATAACGCATATTTAGTATGTATACATGCACGTACTTTATAAAAAAAAATTGTAGTACTTTAAAACCTGTACGATGAGCGATGCATTATTTCAAGGAAAGTTGCCAGGATGCTAAACATAAATCTTTAACATCCCATTAAGCGAGCGGAAGCGCTTAAGGGATTATAGTAACGTACTTTATCTAAAATAAAATAAGTATTGCATGGATACTCATAATAAGTGCATCATGAGCCATTAGCGGAGCTTTTCTTACGTATGATCTTTGTCAGTCGAAAGGGAGCAATAGTAACATGGCTAGTAGGACAGAATTGCCTCTATAACAAATAATTCCAAATTTGTAATAAGTTCTAAGAACCACTGCAAGGCCTAAAAACTCAGTGTCTGTGTTAACTATTCCAAAAACTTGGTGAGTCTTTTAAGTGCTTCAATTAATAATAGAAGCATACCTTGTACTTGGTTACAGAATTTTTTTTGCTCATTTTCTTGAGTACTAGTAGAATCTGCACTTTTAACCGCTATACTTAATGTAATCAATAAATCAGGCAGTATAGGCGTGAGTCCTTCATCCTTAGCAGCTGTAAAGCCGACAAAACTTGAGGCAGTAGTCCAAAGCAAATTCAGCACTGCGGCTACTGTTCGAAGGCTGGAAACAACGTGAAATAGACGAATGACACATACGCATTAAAAATACAAAAGATCAAGGTTTTACAGACAAAGCGATTATAAACAGGTGCTGCTTCCATTAAAGATCCTGCTCGTAGGGTCTTTTTCTGACCTTAAGAGCAGTCATCGTCAATTAAGGGTTGTAACCTTGATGTATGGGCTAGGTGTATCTTGGCAAGCAAAGCAGCAGTGACTTACGTTTGATGCTCTGACTCAAACTGATTAATTTTCTTGACATCTAAGAACTTTTTTAACAGAAACGTACTTAGTTTACTCAGAGAGTGTAGTGACCTAAAACTGTAATTAAATAATTAATACGTAGTACAACATGTATCATGAATTATGAAATCTCAGTTCTTATTGGGCAGAAATTTGCAAACAAAATTAATAATTAAAAATAGTTTGACATTTCTTGAGAATTCAGATTGTTTACAAACCGTTATGAAAGACAAATCGATTTTATTTACTCCAGTGACAGCATTTATAGAATAAAACTCGTGAAATTCGCCTACTGTGAGCATGCAGTCGTTGGGAGCGGATTTAATGACGCAGCTGTGATGTATAGCTTGTAACAATGTCATGAAAATATTACATCATTAAGTTGTCGAACAATGCAAAAAAATTTACGATATACCACTTACTGAGGTCTGCTTTTTCAAAAATTTTTGGAGTACATGAAAAGTCCTTTGATCATGATCAGTAGGATGATTAGACAAACGCTATTTGGCATACTTATTTTCATCTGTTTGCAACAAATTCTTCTTTATTGTAGCTGAGTTCAAGTGCCTGAGGCTTTTGCTGCTATGGGCTCAATAACATCCACAACAAAACTTAATGTATTCTACTTTTCAGAGCCAAGTTAGTACAGATAGAAATGTGGTTTTCAAAGATGCTTCAACTTAACTCTGTTCTTTTACATAAGTCTAAAACTTTTATGTTCAGAGAAAGAAGCTATATAAAGAAATATTTTGTGTGCATAAACACTTCACAGACATAACTTCTGAATGACGAAACAGATGCAACTTCCAACAGTTTACCTAATATCATCTACCTTTAATGCATGTCCTCTGTCGCCTCTGCCGGGCGGCAGTCTACCTCTCCCGACTCTTGTACAAACGGCTTTCCACCATAGACATAACAATGTTACGTCATAACATAAACGAAGTGCGCGTGCGCAATGTGTGAGTGACTTCGCAGCGTGTTGGCATTTGCGCGATAAATGATGGCAGCACTGCTCTCGCGCTGCTTTCACTCGATCACTCGTATTCGCGCGCATTTTTACTTAGTCGACTACTGTTACTGTTAGCATGCGGAGCTCCCTCGCGAATCTAACCGTTCTGATCGTTTTTATTATCGTTATTGTTATTACTGCAAATCAGATTAAGGATCTAAGATTCTCAGTCACACCGTGACTTTAAACCTGTTCTTTTTTATTGCCAACAAAAACGCAAGACCATGAATCGCGCAATTTATTATCAATCCAACGATTGAGTGCCTCCTAGGTATCTGCCAACGCCTTCCGGGCAATCCAATTAGTGTCCTTGCCTTCCAGGCATTTATCAACGCCTCTTGAGCAATTTATCGGTTGGTTTTAAGTGTGTGTGTGTGTATGTGTGTGATCGGGGGTGTACCGTGCCAGTGAATCTTCGATCACAGGGCTGCAGCTGTATATCCTCAAGTGATCGTTCGACGGATAGTCTCCCGTGCCCGAACGGTAACGGCTATTTTAAGTGGGTACGCGAGAGTGCAATACATTTTGCGTGCGACACGGATGTCACTTCGTTCTCCTTCTCCACGAATTGTTTACCGTTTTTTTGCTTTAGCTCTTAATTTTTGTTGTATCTTAATTTGTTTTTAGTTTAGTAAATCAGGGTTTTTTTATACCATTCCGTTTTATTCTCTTAGATTTTGAATTTTATTTTCGTTTTTCTTTGTTATTGACTGAAAGCAGTTTTTTTAATGCATACATTTTTATTACCAAAAGTATTTTAAACATTTTAAACAATCGCTTGACCCAAGCTTTTCCTTTTTTAATTTTTTTGGGGACCTTTACAATCAACAAAGCAAAAGTTTATCTTACCAGAAAAATTTAACAAAGACAGAGGCACTACGAATGAAGATTTTTCATACAATCTGTCAAAGTTCCACTCACAAGGCCTTAACCAATGGTAAATTAATTTGTTTCTATGTTTGCATTTTGTAAGACTCGCTCAAGCAATAATACTATAACCATAGATGTATGAGAAATTTAGACTGCTCGTTCTTATGTACGGCGCTGAAGAACAAGTAAAAAGAGACATAACATCAAACGCGGGAATGTCTCTTTCGCACATTGCCAATGGTGGGGAGGTCGCAACGGACGTACTTAGTTTACTGACCACCACCCAGTCTGCGACTATAACAAAGAAAAAAGAGTCTTTGTTGGTAAGATAGATTTCTGCCTAACTAACCGAGTAGTTGCATTTCCATGACTATTCGCTGTGTACAAGTTGGTGGAGGGGAGAGCTGGCGATCCTACCCGATTAGAAAAAGTCTACGGCCCGCCGGAGACTACCATACGGGCCGTAGACGGTACGCCGGACACAATACTCCTGGCCCGTGTAACGCGTGTGATCAGGTACGTGTACGGACAGTACACGGCACCCGTCACTCATGGCTCCCATGTACTGCCCGTACCCTGACCGTAAGCAGTCCGTACAGTATATATAGCTATGAAGGTGAGCAAAAATAAGCGGTTAAATTTATGCTTAACACTAAGTATGTCTTGCAAATAAGGCACGACCAATCTACAAGATACCAGAGCAAAAAGTGTTATTTGAATAATAGAATTCAATTTTAATATCTTTCCGTTATCGTATGTAAGTGAGTATTTGTATCAATATGATAACTTTGAATTAAAACTAACAAACGCTTTTTTNACTGCAAATAAGACACTATATTTCTTTGCATATGCCAATATATATTAGAAATGTCTGTTGTTAACCATTTAAAGTTTCTCAGACCGGTGAATACACCAATGTTTCTTCTCTTAGATTTTGAATTTTATTTTCGTTTTTCTTGGTAATTTAATTATTCGAGTTTTATTTAAAATTTTAACAACATAAAAATGTTTTAACGCATTAAATCAATCTTTCGAAATTAATTGTAAATCAAAATATGAACTGTAACTCAACATCTCAAAATTAGTAATCATCCTTATTCTTGACTATTCTTGTATAAATTTGAAGTTTCAGCACAGCCACTCTTACCATTGACGGGAAGGTGGCTTTATAACGTTAACATGGTGCCTCCTGTGAGGTCTTCTCACGAAAATCGCGAGTGACGTTCCGTACTTGAACATGTTAGGTCGTTGAGCGAAGGCGAGCGCGTCAAAAAACTATAACGAATAAGCGTCGCCAAGCGTATCATCGTTTTCGTCAGCTTTGACTTCACTGTTCTACTGCTGCTGTCGCTTCTGCTCCAGAAAACTACTCCATCCAGTTGGCTGCACGACGAAGGCGTCGAGGGATGTTGAGATCAGATAAGTACCTCTATCTCTCGAGAATCTAAACTTTCTATTTCATTCCAATTATTTTCTTTGGTGCATGTGTACATATTAAAGCTGGTGGTTAGACGGTGGACATATTTAGGCGAAAATAGTCTTTCAAAATGGGGTTAACTGAAGACCAACAAAAGCGTGTTGATTACATCGTACATAAAGGAAAGTCGTTAGAGACTCAAGTAAAGAAGTTAGAAAAGACTCTAAAGGGTTCTGATTCTTCGGATCCTGATCCTGTCAAAGTTAAGTTGCGGCTTGACAGTCTTGTGGATTTTTATAGGGAGTATACGAAGTACAACGACGAGTTGGTTTAATTGGGTGATCAGAATGTTTAATTAGTAGCTTTTTTAGATGTCGAGTCCCGTTACTTTGAGGTTGCTAGCAGCGTGAATAAAATTCAAAGGACCGAGCCCCTTGCTTCCTCAACCCTGAATTTAAGCAATCTCTTCATTTCAGATCACCTCAACCGGCCTCGTCTTCCAGAAATAAAGATCCCCACTTTTGATGGGAACTCCAAAAACTGGGCCAGCTTCAAGCACAAGTTTAAGTCTCTGATCCACAATCGCGAAGATCTCAGCGATGCAATCAAAGCTAGCCAGTTCTTCTCCTGTTTATCGGAAAAAACTCTCGATAAAGTAAATGAGTTGAATCCTAGTGCACGTGATTATAAAAGAGCTTGGCAATCGCTCCTTGGATTTTATGATCAGAAACGTGTCATCGCCGTTCAACGTTTGAATGCCATCCTCAATCTTTCCAAGCTTACCAGCGCTACAGCTGATGGTCTTTCATCGTTGGTTGGCAAAGCTTGTGAACACCTCCACATTCTGAATCAGCTCGAGAGCCGAAACAAAAGGTAGAAGAATCTTCAAAATCGACTGCCCCTCAAAAATGACTATCCAATTTTTCGTGTGCTTCTGTTGCTTTCCCATCCGATTCTCAACTCATGACGACTGCCACTCTTAAAGCTTACAACAGGCAAGAAAATTACATAGTGGCACGAGCGTTATTAGATTCTTGCTTTACTGTAAATTTGATCACTGAGAAATTTGCAAAACTTTTAAACTTGCCCACTCAAAAATGTTCAGTTAACATTGGAGCAGTCGACAGTTTCTGCACTGTTTCAAAACAACAACTTAAAGCCATTTTCCAGTCAAGTTACAATAATTCCAAACATCAATTAAATTTTCTTATTGTACCTAACATCGCTGATTACGTTCCTAATGAACCGTTTTCTTGCAATCAGTTCGATATTCCAAAAAACATCAAATTGGCTGATCCTCAGTTTCATCTCCCTAAAGCCATCGACATCTTGCTAGCCTCCAATACCACATTATCTGTTCTAACTGTTGGTCAAATCAATCTCCGTAGCAAAAATTCGGCTATTATCTTGCAAAAAACCCAGTTAGGTTAGATTGTGGCTGGAGGAGCTGAAAACCCGCTTTCTTCTACTCAAAAATCTTGCAACATTGTCAAACTTGACAAACTTGTCGAGAGGTTCTGGTTCATTGAAGATTTTGATCATGAACCTGTTAAATCTTGCGACGAAGTTGCTTCCGAACAACATGACGTTACTCACACCAAACGTGATTCCACTGGTAGGTACATCATTCGTCTTCCATTTCGGGATAGCAAGTTCAATCTCAGAGACTTACGTCAGCAAGCCCTGAAACGTTACTATAGCCTTGAACGGAAATTCGAGTCAGATCTATCTTTAAAGACTGAATATACTAAGGTCATGGACGAGTATATCTCTCTCAGTCATATGACTCTCTGTGACGAGACCGAGGACGGACACTATCTTCCTCATCACGCTGTGATAAAAGAATCCAGCAAAACTACCAAACTCCAAGTAGTCTTCGACGCATTAACGAAAGCATCCACAGGTATTTTCCTTAATGATACCCTCATGATAGGTCCCACGATTTAGAATACCATTTTTGAGCCGGTCCTTCGCTTTCATACCCATTCTTACGTAATTACGGCGGACATCAAAAAAATGTATCATCAAATCTTGATCCATCCTCATGATAGAAAGTTTCCGAGAATTCTTTGGCGTTATCAGGGCAATCTTTTAACGTTCCAGCTTACCACAGTGACCTGTGGCACCGCTGCTCCCCCTTTTCTAGCAATTCGCACCATTCAATAACTTGCTCGAGATAAAGCTTAGGATCTTCCTCAAGCTACTAAGTTGCTCCTGTGGGATCTTTATGTCAACGACTTCATTTCTGGAGCGGATTCTATGAAAAAGATTATGGCCATACGCGATGAAATGATCGCGCTATTACGTCGTGGTGGGTTTTAGATTCGCAAATGTGCGTTGAATCATCGATCTGTGTTGGACTTGATTGATCAAAAAACATTTGACCTGGATTGTGTGATCAAGAAAGATCCCATTCAAAAAATACTCGGAGTCATTTGGGATTCCCAGCATGATCGCCTTCAATACTCTTTAAGTCAGGTCAACTCTCAAGTTGTTCCCACAATGCGTAGACTCTTATCAGAGGTATCGAAAATTGTTGATCCTCTCGGACTTTTAGGACCAGTAATTTTATATGCCAAAGTTTTGATCCAAGATTGTTGGAAGTCAAAAATTACTTGGGATGAATCTCTTTCCCAGTATATTCATACCAAATGGAAGTTACTATCGGATCAGCTGCCACTTATAAGAGAAACTTCGTTTCCTCAGCAATTTTTAATCCCTAACCCGGCTTATATTAAATTGCACGGATTCTGTGATGCTTGCCTCCATGATTATGGAGCATGCATTTTTATCAGGTCAACTAACTCTCAGGGTCGTTTCTCCGTACAATTAGTTTGTTCGAAATTTCGAGTAGCACCCTTAAGCGAAATCACAATCCCAAGATTAGAATTCTGCGCTGCTTCCATTCTCAAGAAACTTTACATCGAGGCAAAGGCACAATTTGATTTTCCCATCAATCAGGCCGCTTTCTGGTCAGATTCCACTATTGTTCTTCATTGGCTGAAAAAGGCCCCTCATCTCCTTCGAACCTTTAAGTCAAATCGAGTCACCGACATTCAATCGTTAGGAGATCAAGTTAGATGGAAACACGTCCGATCTTATGACAATCCAGCTGATGCTCTATCTCGAGGACAACTTCCATCCGAATTCGTTCAAAATTCTCTCTGGAACAACGGCCCTAAATCGTTAACGTTTAACGAGTCTGAGTGGCCTCAGTCAGTTTAACCATCTCCTGCTGAGGTACCTAGCCTTTGTTTTATCACTAACATCTCTGCTGAGGACTTCTATTCTCGTTTTTCCGATTTTGATTGCTTCGTAAGGGTTACTGCGTATATTTTGCGCTGGAAAATTTCAGTGTTCCAAGAGAAAACAGCAAAATCAGTACGTCCACTGTCTTGTGCTGAACTTGTGGAGGCAGAAATTAGAATCTTTCTAATGATTGAACGTGATAGTTACGCTCAAGAATTTCGCCAGTTGTCTCCAACTTCTGACAAACCAGAAACCAACACAAAACCTTTTCGACAGGGGACTTTTTTTGATGATCTACATCCGTTTATCGATGATAGGGGACTTCTACGTGTCAGCGGGCACTTAAAGAAATTGGAGCTTCTATAGAACCAAAAACACCCAATCTTGCTTCCTAGCAAACATCCTATCAGAGATACGATCATCCGTTGAACACATCATGCCAATTTACATGCTGGCATTAAAACTACCCTCTACGCTATTCGTGAAAAATTCTGGATCTTGAATGGAAAGGACCAAGTAAGGAAAATCATCCATCAATGCATTGACTGTATTCGTAATCGGCCTAAAATTGTTCACACTTGAATGGCCGATTAACCTGAAGTTCGAGTCAACAAATCACCAGCCTTTTGTCATACTGCGGTCGTTTTCTTCGGTCCTATCTTGATCAAAGAGAAATAAGATTGAAACCGGTCTTTCCTAAAAACGTATGGTTGTGTGTTCATCTGCCTTGTATCCAAAGTGGTACATGTCGAACTAGCTATGGATCTCTCTTCCGAAGGTTTTATAGCTGCTTTTCGTAGGTTCGTTAGTCGAAGAGGCGTTCCAGAACAGGTCTATTCCGATAATGGCACGAATTTCGTCGGCGCGAACAACGAACTCCGTGAAATCTACGATCTGTTTTCTACCTCCGAGCTCAGAGATGCGATAGAGAATTATGCTCTATCTAAGAGAATCGTGTGGCATTTTAACCCACCGTTATCTCCCCACTATGGTGGAATTTGAGAAGCTGCTGTAAAGAGTTTTAAACATCACTTGAAACGCAATTTAAAGGATCACAAGCTCACATATGAGCATGTTAACACATTACTTATCGAAATTAAAGCGATTTTGATTTTGAACTTGCGACCCTCTTTCAGCAGATCCTAATGACCCTTTAGCGATAACACTAGCACATTTATTTATAGGCCGCCCGTTCAAGGCCTTACCCTAAAAATATTTCCTTTCAGTGCCAGAAAATCGACTCTCCACTTACAACCTTATCTCCAAGGCCAAACAGGACTTTTGGAAAAAGTGGCACAAGGAGTATCTTCACGAACTCCAGACTCGTCAAAAATAGCACGAATCGACAGCTGAGTTGAAACCTGGATCAGTTGTTATTCTCATGGACGACGTGACGCATTGTGCTAGATGGCCACTGGGTGTGATCCTCAGGGTGTTTCCTGGGAGCGACGGTATCGCCCGCGTTGCATCGATGAAGACTGCAAATGGCATGTTTACCCGCAACATTACTTGTCTTTGTATGCTTCTGGTCAATTAACCTTACGAAAAAACTTTGTACGCAAGTTACTCCTAGAATCATTTTGAATTTCTCAATTGTTTGTGATAATTTTGTCTAATCAGCGAAGCAGTCCCTTCAACGGAAACTGATTCAATTTACTTGTCTAGTCTTCGGCTGTCAAGTTACCAAAGATTCTCGTTGACTTCAGTTGTGATTGTTAATAAGTAAATTTGTGTAGTAAGTTTGCTGTTCATAGGCTAACTCCTGTTATTTTATTCTGTATTTTTTTTAAGTTCATATACCAATCTCCTCCACATAGCTACTTTGTTACTCTGTGTCGCAGCTTCCACCGGAAGTATGTTACGTCATAACATGAATGGAGTGCGCGTGCGCAATGTGTGAGTAATTTTGCGGCGTGCTCACATGCACGCGATAAATGATGGCAGCACTGCTCTTGCGCTGCTTCTACTCGATCACGCGTATTCACGCGCATTTTTACTTAGTTGACTACTGTTACTGTTAGCGTGCAGAGCTTTAAACCTGTTTTTCCTTCTATTACCAAGAAAAACGCAAGACCACGAATCACGCACTTTATTTTTAATCCAACGATCGAGTGCCTCCTAGGCATCTGTCAACGCCTTCCGGGCAATCCAATTCGTGTCCTTGCCTTCCAGGCATTTACCAACGCCTGTTGAGCAATTTATCAGTTGGTCTTAGGTGTGTGTGTGTGTATGTGTGTGATCGGGGGTGTGCCGTGCCTGTGAATCTTCGATGACAGGGCTGTAGCTGTGTAACCTTGCGGTGATTGTTTGACCGATAGTCTTTTGCGCCCGAACTGTAACGGCCATTTTGAGTGGGTAAGCGAGAGTGCGATACATTTTGCGTGCGACACGGACGTCACTCCGTTCTTCTTTTCCACGAATTCATTACCGTTTTTTACATTAGCTCCAAATTTTCATTGTATCTTAACTTCGTTTTTTTTTAAATAAATCTGGGTTTTTTTTATACCGTTCTGATTTTTTTTCCCTTGGATTTTGTTTTTTTTCCTTTTCTTGGTAATTTAATTATTCAAGTTACATTTAAAATTTTAACAACATACCAATAAATAAAAATAACGCATTAAATCAATTTTCTAAAATTAATTGTAAATCAAATTATAAACTGTAACTCAACAACTCAAAATTAGTAATCATTCTTATTCTTGACCATTCTTGAATAAATTTAAAGTTTCAGTACAGCCACACTTAGCATCTACGGTAAGGTGGCCTTATAACATCAACAAGTAATAAAGACTGCTCGATCTTGTGAACGGCGCTAAAGCACGAGTAAAAGGAGACACAACATCAAACGTGGGCGTCTGTCTTTCTCGTACATTACCAAAGGTAGAAATGTTCGAGAGAGACAGATACCCACATTCAATGTTGTGTCTCCTTCTACTTCTGCTTCAGGGCCGTACATAAGAACAATACAAGTTGTTATATTTTTTATATATCTATGACTTCCACTGTAACTCTGCTCTGATTGGCTTCGGAACTTTTTAATATTCCCCAGAAGTTATTATAGTACTTATCACTAACACTAGTGTTGTTTGTGTCAGAAACTCTCTAACTATATTACAAGATGTCTTACCTGTCAGAAACTTGGTATATTACCTAAGGTCTTACACCTAGCCACCAGGCCACCACTTTTATGAAGTTATAGTTAGACAGTATCGATACGAATCGATTGATAGAACTCGAGATTCTCAAGAACTGACCGGTGATGCCAAGAGACTCACAGGCACAGCCAAGCGCAGCTGACCGTACCTAAAAAAACTAAGAGTTGATAGATGAGCAAGACAAGCCGATGATGCCAAGAAAAATTAAGAGCAGCCGATTATATCAAGAATATTGAATGAAACTGATGGTCAAACTCTACCCTTCTCCTGCTGCAGTACACTGATCAAGCTTAAATGAACAAGCCTAGTCTTATCCAAGCTTTATGCGGCACCACTGCGCGATGCTGCTTGTAATGATAAAATTTGATGCATCAGACACTATATTTCTTTGCATATGCCAATATATATTAGAAATGTCTGTTGTTAACCATTTAAAGTTTCTCAGACCGGTGAATACACCAATGTTACTGTTACACTCTCCTTATTTTCTCTCCCACTGTGTAACGACTGTTAATTTGAGTGCCTGCGAGATTTTTACTGATA